GTAATATATTTAATGCAGCCGAACCATTTATTACAATGCATTCATGTGATGACTTTCAAAGAGTAAAGCAAGCACTGCTGAATAAAGTATGATTTGATCTTTTATGAAACGTTTTTTTTCATATTGAATGCAGTTGGAGGTCAACCAATCACAGAGCTTGAGAACTAATCACGGGGTTTGTCAAACAGAGCACATGGTGTAGTCCTAAACGATAGCTGGGGATTCTGGGTAGTGTCTTCTGCCATCCTTTACTCCGAAAAAATATTTGTTTCTCCGAATCGAAGGGGAAAAATACAAAAGCATTGCACACAATTTAAACCAATCAATGTTGTGTAATTAACAAGGATAATCTGGTGTTTCTTAGTTGATGAGTAGTGCAGATATCACTGTAAAATCAATCGACAGTAAGGGGAATACTTACTTCCGGGTGTACAATTCTCCGTTATCCAATGGGAATGGATGCTTGATTGATTGATTGAAAAGTTTATTAACAGCTTGTATATTGGGTACAGTACAGTACAGCTCAAAACATACAATTGTTAAGGGGATGCAGACCAGAGAAAGACTTTCGTCTTGTTTACATCAGGGTCCCCCATTTCCAATTCATCATATCATTTAAGACATATAAGACATATAAGACATATAAGACATATAAGACATATAAGACATATAAGACATATTTGACATACAGATGGCTTATTTACAATTTACATACAGGTGGTTTTTTTACATACAGATTGCTTATTTACAATTTTCATTTTAGATTTCGTTCTAATACATCCTAACCGGACATTTAAGACATACCAAGTCTACAGATATACAGTTAGTAACAGAGTCTAAAATGCGAGTATATACATAGATGGGGGGGGAAGCTGTCCATTGAACGACAGGTTGAGATTTGTACCATTACCGGGGCCAGTTTTGCAATGCTCTCCCCCGAAGGTGCTCTTTAAGAGAGGTTTTGAAGGTAAGTATAGTTTTACTTTCCTTTACAGTTGTGGGAAGAGCGTTCCACCTTGATGTGGCATAATTGCGAAACGTGTATTCCCCCTTTTTTGTGCCAAATCTGGGTTTCACATGATTTGTGGAGCTCCCTCTGGTGTTATGATCATGGTATTCCTTGACCTTTGGGAAGAATTTTGACATGTACATGGGTACCATAGAGGTGTAGTGGATCTTGTAGACCAGGCCCATTGCAAGTAGCTGTACTCTGTCGTCTACTCTAAGCCATCCTAGGTTGTCAAAGTGGGCAGAGGTGAGGTGGGTTCTAGATGAAAGGTCAAGCAGTAGTCTGACCAGTTTATTTGCGATGTTTGAAGTTTTATTTTTAGCGCCTTGGAGGTGCTATGGTACCATGACGTGCAAGCATAGTCATAGTACCCTTGAATGAGTGCTCCTGCCAGAGTTTTCAGGGTGTTTTTGTTTACCAGAGAGGAGATCCGGTATAGGAATCTAGTTCTTTGATTGACTTTTTTTATTACATTGGATGCCATTTTGTCACAGGAGAGGTTTGCCTCAAGAATAGATCCTAGGTATGTAATTTCCTTCTTACTTGTGACAATAATGTCGCCCACTGCAACTGAGAAGTCGTCGGATTTGCTGAGATTATGTTTCGAACCGAAGAGAATGGACTCTGTTTTACCCAGGTGTAATGATAATTTATTATCGGTGAGCCAGGTGCAGATTCTGCCGAGCTCGGAGCTGAGGGTTTTTTCAACCTGTAACCTGTTCCTGTCAGAGACCAGCAGGGCTGAGTCGTCCGCGAACAGGAACAAGTTGCAGTCACATGCTGATGACATGTCATTTACATAAATTAGGAACAGTAACGGACCTAATATGCTTCCTTGTGGAACACCACAGCTCACTGGGAGGGGGGGGGACAGAGTACCGTTTACCTCCACCATCTGTTCTCTCCCCTCCAGGTAGGATTGCATCCAGCTCACCGATAGTTTATCAAAACCAATTGCTTTAGCTTGTCAATCAGAATGGGGTGATTGACAGTGTCGAAAGCCTTTTGTAGGTCCAGCATCACCATGCCGCAGTACTTGCCCTCGTCCACCTCTTGTTTGATGTGGTCGCTCAAATAAAGAAGGCATGTGTCAGTGGAGTGGGATGTTCTAAAGCCAGATTGAAATTCATAGATTAGTTTCTTTTCCGCGAGGTACTTTTCGCCCTGTTTCATATACTATTTTTTCCATGACTTTCGAGATGGAGGTAAGTATAGAAACAGGGCGGTAGTTGCCTGGGTCCAATTTGCTGCCCTTTTTGTGCAGGGGGGTTACTCTTGCAATTTTGAAGTCTTTGGGTACTTTTCCCTGTTTTATGGAGAGGTTAATTATGTGAGCTATGACTGGTGAGATGGCGGTTGCTGTGTCTCTGAGGAATTTGGAGGGGATATTGTGGTGGCCAGTGGCCTTGTTAGGTTGGAGGGCGCTCAGTTTAATGAGTACCTCTGCTGTTGTTACCCTTGCTAGACTGAAATCATCTTTGCGTACCCCTAGGTTTTTGTAGTAGGTCATGATGTGATCTACTCCAAAAAGCCCTGAGTGGGAGGGTAATTTATTTACAAGAGTTGTGGCTATGTTTGTGAAAAAAATGTTCAAGTACTTGGCCACATCCAGTTTGTCTGTGATGAGCCTGTTATCTGTCTTTATGTTTAAGTTAGAAAATCTCGTTTTGAGTTTTTTACTGCAGCCAAGCTGGTTATTGAGTAATTTCCAAAGTTCACAGGGTTTATTTTTGTTTTCCTCAGTTTTGACATTGATGAAATTCTTTTTGGCAGTTTTGATCATGGAGCTTACGTCATTTCTTAGTCTGTTTCTTTCAATTTTGAGTTCAGTCACGTGGGCCTGGAGTTCACTGCTCGTGCTTTTGGAAAGCATTGACTGACTTTTATGAAACTCAGAGCATTTTTTGTCTCTGGTTTTCATGGCGGTCAGTATGCCGGAGTGCATCCACGGCTCAGCGCGATTTTTTACCCTGGTTGTTCTTAGGGGGGGCCAAATCATTGAGTATTGCAGAGAATTTGTTTTTGAAACCAAGCCATGTTTCTTCAACTTGTGTACCACTGAGCTCATCTGACCAGTCCAGGCTCTCCAGTTCTAGGTTAAAGGCCTCGCTAGAGTAGTTTTTGAGGTCTCTAGATATGACTGTTTTGTGACAGCCGGCCCTTTGTTTTAGCTTTTTGCGGGTACAGAATATCATATAATGATCACTTAAACCGCATGCTATAACCCCTTTACTGGAGATCCTGGACTTGTCAGAGGTCAGAATGAGATCAATGGTAGTTTGTGTTGTTTCACATACCCGGGTGGGTTGGGTGATTAGCTGGCTGAAGCCGTGCAGATCACAAATCCTACTGAAGGACTTGAAGACGGACGTGTCTTTACGTTGCATATCCGTGTTCCAGTCTCCAATAATAATTGTCTCTACATCCCCCACATCAGCCAAACACCCATCTAATGTATCATAAAAGTCACTCTGTTCCGGTGGTCTATAGATTGTCCCGACTATTACAGATTTAGCATTGTCAAAAATAATTTCAACCGACACAGATTCAATATTTTCATGATGCAGGTCAGTACGGTTTTTGAAATTGGTGTCTTTATGTATTTACATGCAGACACCACCTCCATTCACGTTCCTGTCCCTTCTCACTACAAGATAATCTTCAATTTCAATCTCTGAATCTGTAATGGGATTGTCCAATTTGGTCTCAGAAAAGCATAATATGCTTGCCTTATCGTTCATGAATAGCTGCCTGAGTTCAGCCAGTTTGTGTCTCAGGCTGTTAGTGTTCAGATGAAAAATATGTAGTCCATTTTTGTTGCTTGAATGCACAATGTCGTCAGCTTGCAGATATTTGTCTTTGTCCGTTAAAGCAACCGGCTTGTCGTGGTGGGGTGGTGGTGGGGGGAGGGAGGGAGGCTCCGTTGTAGCTTTAGCCGTTGATATGCTAGCAGGGTGGCTAACAACATGGCGGATATTTGTTCCCTCGGATCTCGGTTCTCTTCCTCTCGTCACTGCCTCATGCGTGTCTGTCTGCCGAGGCGTCCCCGGGGGAATCTCGAAGTCTCCGTTTATTCCTTGGTCTCCGCTGTCTCCACGGTCTCTGTTGTCGTCGCGTAGTTGTTGTTGCAGCGGAAGAGATGCTAGTTCTGATGCTAATTGAGATGCTAGCTCCTCGAGCCTGCAGGACTGGCTTCTTGTCTGCACCGGGCCCGGATTCAGATGGATGTCTCCCGCTAACAATAAGATCAAGACGATCATACTTCTTCGGTCTAGTTTGCCTGACGGGGGTAAGTACTTTCCCGTCGGGTTTGCAGTTAATAATGCATGAATGCTTGCACTTCCAAAAGCGAGGTGTTTCCTTTCCCAGCCGTTAAGAAGGTAAAAGTCATTGTGGTTCATTTTATCCCCGCTTTCATTACTCTCCTTCTCTAAGTGATGTTGCCTCATTGATGAGTTGAGGTAGGAGTCCATAATCCATATTGTCAGGAGGATGAAATATGTAAAAAATCGTGAGGAATAACCTCCAAAGCGGGAGCTCTCGAAAATGCGACCACTCATAGCGAAACTGGATGATATATGGTCTGCAACAGTGCTATATCTGAAGTGTCATTCATGAAACTATTAATGTTTCATACCCTTTTAAAGGTAAGAAACTCCGCTAACTGACAATAAGAACAATTGTCAGCTAAAAAAAACGAGAATTGGAAATGATGAATTGGAAATGGGGGACCCTGATGTAAACAAGACGAAAGTCTTTCTCTGGTCTGCATCCCCTTAACAATTGTATGTTTTGAGCTGTACTGTACTGTACCCAATATACAAGCTGTTAATAAACTTTTCAATCAATCAATCAATCACATATATAGCATTTTTGGACCCGAGCTCGGGTCCGTGTGGCTTAAGAGGGAAACTGATGCTGGTGTGTTTCATACAGAGAGAAGGAGGGGATAAACAACATTATTTATATTTCAAGATTTAAAAGGTTTAATGTCATATAGGTATAGCAATGCAAGGTTAAGCAATGCATACAAAATGTAAGGCTTTACTTTGATAAAGAAAGTTTAACCATATGGTTTGTGACATTTGTAATACAAAATAATATTTGACTCTTTATTACAAGTATGAAGCGCTGACAAAATTCCTCAAGCACATTGTTGGACTACAAAGAGCTTTTACTTAAAATGTATTAGAGCATTTACGATATAGAGGATATATGTTTAAAAATGTGAATTATACTTATATTTGTCATAGCAAAGGATCCAAACCTGGGTCGCTTTCCTACGATATAAAATATTCTTCAGCAAAACCCATTTTTCTTTCATTTGTAACATTTGCAATAATACACATCTGCAAAAGCAAATAAAGCCGTGTTTTCACTTCATCTGTCCACAAAGTAAAGTCTGAGTGGTTGGTCCGGTACCAGAACAGTGCGGTTGATGCATTTCAACTCTCCCATCGTTGGGTCTGGCTTGATTTCAAAGTGCCTGATTACCTGGAGGAAAAAGAAAAATATGAAGTTCAGACTGAATAAGGCCATGGGGAAAACACAAATAAAAAACTAACTGTTTCTCTTTCAAATGTGTTAATAGGAACTAGGGATGCTCCGATCGATCGGTCACCGATCGATATCGGCCGATACTCACTCTCTACCGATCGATCGGTGCTCTCTAAACATGCCGATCGCGAGAGCCGATCGCATGACGTAAAATACATGACACTTTTCTCTGTGCGCGGCAAAACAAGCTCGCCAACATGGCTTCACCGGTCTGGCATTATTTAAGGTGTCCGAAAAAGACAGTAAAATAGCGGTATGCAACGTGTGTGAAGCAGAAATCCTGCAGCTCCGCCCGCCGGACAGGTAAGCGCAGCGAAACACACACACAGGGAGAACCAGACCGCAGTTCATTTCCTCATATTCCAAACGAGAAATTACGGTAGCAAATCACCCCGGTTCTTTACGACCAGAACTATTAACGGGATACAAACCGGAGGAACCAGGCATGGAGGGAGGTGGCAGAGACAGTGGGTGAAACTGGTAAGTTTTCGCCTGTTTGGGGAGTTTATATATATATATTGCTCGCATAAAATCCCCGGGGTTTTTTGCTTTGTATGTCGGGGGCGGGAGATTCATGTGATTGGTTGTTGGTCGCGTTGCTCGCAAAAAATCCCCAAGCTTTCAGACGCGCCCAGCTCCAAGATTTTTAAGATTTTTGAAAAGCTGCTGTGTGGACGTACCGTAAGAGTTAGACCTAACACACTTAGCTATTTTATCTACCTCTGGAACAAGCTAAACTAGTTATTATAAATATATTTATTCTTCATTGTCGGGTCACTCATTACTGGATCAGTGAGCTGCATGAGATACTGACAGGCTGTCAGGAGAGGGGGAGAGAGAGAGGGAGAGAGGGAAAGAGAGCGCTTCCGCTAATTTCTCCCGTGTTATTATCCAAAGTGAATGTAAACTTGAATAATGTACATCATTTGAATGTAATAATTAAGTTGATTGTTGTTTGTGGAAGCTCCAGTGAATGAGCCCCATTAACTGAGTTTAAACATCACTTTAAATGGAAGATTTAAAGTGATGTTTAAATCTTCCATTTAGGCCCCGCCCACTCGATCGGATCGGCGATCGGTATCGGCCCAGGGTCGGCGTCATGGGGGGTCATTCGCGGGCCATGCCCCCCCAAATGAGTCACTGTGCCCCCCCAACGCAGGGTTGGCAAGCCTTGCCACTTTGCCATTTTTTTCTTTTTTTAATCATATAAGTGAAAACGTTTCCACTAAAGTTTTTTGTGTGAAATACATCAGAAATAAATAATACAAATATAAAACACAGCCTGAGGTGTGCTCACTGCTGCTCTCTGATTGGTGTGTTGCTTGACCAATGACCCCCGACCTTTTTTTTGTTATCATTACGTGGCTCTGTGTTTAGATGAAAGCCCAGTGGCGATCTGTTCATCTCAGGGTCGGCGTCATGGGGGGTCATTCGCGGGCCATGCCCCCCCAAATGAGTCACTGTGCCCCCCCAACGCAGGGTTGGCAAGCCTTGCCACTTTGCCATTTTTTTCTTTTTTTAATCATATAAGTGAAAACGTTTCCACTAAAGTTTTTTTGTGTGAAATACATCAGAAATAAATAATACAAATATAAAACACAGCCTGAGGTGTGCTCACTGCTGCTCTCTGATTGGTGTGTTGCTTGACCAATGACCCCCGACCTTTTTTTTGTTATCATTACGTGGCTCTGTGTTTAGATGAAAGCCCAGTGGCGATCTGTTCATCTGTTATACTGATTATACAGAGTAAAGCCATCGAAAATAATATGATATACAGTACAGTACAAGTACATGGGTCTCTGTGTTTCATTCAAGCTCGGCTCTGTGTGTGTGTGGCACGAGCGCATTTTGTGAGTTCGCGAGCGGTAACGTGGAATGTTGTTAGCATCTGGTTAGCTAGCTATGCTAACGGGTATAAAGGGCTGTTTCTACACCAAGGTGGAGGAGAGTCCTCTCCTGTCAGACTGTGAGGATCTTATAACGTCAGCTCAGTGAGGTAAGGACTCTCTCAGTGTTTAGATAGTTCACTTTAGTGTAAGTTATCTCAGTGGGTCTCAAACGGTTTGGTCACCATTTATGTAAGTATTTTCGAGGAATACCTTTATATGCAGGGCTGCACATAACTGGTGCGCAGGTGCGCATGCGCACCTCCGCCAAAAAAAGAGCACCGGGTCATTTGAAAAAATGCGCATTTGCGTACCAACATTGAGAGAGAGAGGGGAGAGAGAGAAGAGAGAGAAGGGAGAAGAGAAAAGAGAGAAGAGAGAAGAAAGGAGAGAGAGAAATATATTTGCGAGTTGCATATGAACTCAGGGCTGGCCCGTAGCGCTGGCCTTATAGATGTTCGCCTAGGGCTCCAGATATGTGGAGGCGCAACGCTGGAAGCTCTAGGAGGGAAACATACATTTTTTACCGTTGGGGCTTATCCTAATGTTCTGCCTTGATGTAACAATATTCATAATTAAGTAAATGTAACACCCTTTTCACCCCGGTTACACTTTTAATTTTCCCTATACGATGGGCGCTGTAAGTGATGAAAATGGGGGATGTTGGCTTATCTGGCGCCCGCAGCTCACAGCCAAAGTGCGAGTGAGCGTTGGAGCGAGGGAGGGTGCACCGGTTCCGGCGCTGTTGTTATTAGCATCTGGTGCTAGCTGCTCTAACGGAAGAAGATGTTTCTACAATAATGTGGAGGGAGAGTCCTCTCCAGTCAGACTGAAAGGCTGATACTACAGCTCAGTGAGGTAAGGACTCTGAGTGTTTAGATAGTTCACTTTAGTCTAAGTTATCTCAGTGGGTCTCAAACGTTTTGATCACAATTTATGTAAACACATATTTCCAAGGCACTCCTTTATAATTATTGGGATAAACAGGTTTTAAATCATTCCAATGTATACTATAGGACAGTAAACGAAAATATCCTTTAAAACTGGAAAGATAAAAAAAATGCATAAATAAATAAATGTTAAGGTAAAATAAGATATGAACAAAAAAAATAAAATAAGTTACATTAATTTGTTATTGGCTATGGTAGGTTATTGGTTATGTTCACATACTTATTTGATTACATCCACTTGTCTAAGATGACAACAGAGACTTTCGACCCAAAACCAGCTGTTGACTAGTGGATGCAAGCAGCTAATCCAGACTCAACCAGAGAGAAAGAAGTAGGCCTACATCATCAGCTACCATGTCTGACAGAGAGGAAGACAGTGAGGAGAACAGTCAGGAGAACAGTGATGACAGCTTGTAGGATTACTGGTCGTGCTAATGTTGTCTTGTGTTCACCTCTGCATGTGTGTTCTGTGTTCACCTCTGCATGTGTGTTCTGTGTTCACCTCTGCATGTGTGTTCTGTGTTCACCTCTGCATGTGTGTTCAGTGTTCACCTCTGTGTGTTCAGTGCCGTGTGTCTGACAAATAAAGTCAAGAGCCCCTCAAAAGTTACGGTTTATTTCATTTTAAGGATGAGCACCAAGCAACATCTCCAGGTGCTCCTTTGAGAACCAGGGCAAAAAAGTTATGTGCACCCCTGTTTATATGATCATTATAGTTATTAAAGAGAGAATAAATGAAAAACGGGTATGAAATACTATAGGACAGTAACACAAGAATACGGTTTAAAAGGGGAATGATTAGTAAAATATCCATAAAGAAAAAGTAAATCTGTGTACAGTTCTGTTTCATATGGATGCTGAGAGATGTAGGCTATCCATAGATCTCTTCATTTTGCTCTCAAAGTGCACCAGATTGATGCATTTAACTTCAATATTTTAAAAATAATCTTCCCGGGGCAGCATGCCCCCAGACCCTCCTAGAGGAGGTTAGGTCCACCCCCACCTAAACATGTTCACATGGATAGGATACTAAATACATTTGCACACTTTTTATATGGTGGCCTATGTCCATATCAAATCAAATCAAGTTTAATTTATATAGCACATTTTTCAACGATTTTTGGTCGAGCCAAAGTGCTGTACATATAATAAAAAATAACCTACAGTAAAGACACTTTACAGCAAATACAACAGCACAGTTTGTGCAGAATATCAGTATGAGAAAACGACACCCTCTGTCCTTATATGTTTCTGTTTTGGTGGTCGTGCCACAACCGTGCATGTATGCACAAGTCATAGGTGCGCTATACAATAGCACTACACCCCTGCAATGTGTGTGAAAGACAATAGACTTTACAGCATGTTTTTTGAAATTGAAGTTGCGTTGGTGTTTGTGTGTTGGTTGTTGACGGCAGTGTGTGCCCCCCCTTGGTAAATGATTTCCCCCCCATTCGATTTGTTCGAGAGCCGACCCTGTATCGGCCGATACTGATTCCGCCGATCGGCGATCGGCCCCGAAATTGGCGATCGGAGCATCCCTAATAGGAACCTTATTTCACCCCAAAAGACGCTGTTCATGTCTTTTTTCAAAGCACTGTTTCTCTGTTGTTTGATGGCATGGAGCTCAATCATGTGTAATCTGTAGATGTTGTAAATGGATTTCCTGTTAGTCACTTACCCGAAACAGAACCATATACATCTCTAGCTCAGCAATCCTCCGACCCACACAGCCCCTCACTCCGAAGCCAAAAGGGATGGAGGCAAAGGGGTTGGGCCTCACACGTCCGTCACGGAGCCATCTCTCTGGTTTAAAGGTGAACGGCTCTGGGAATGTCTCCTCATCATGGCTGATGGCATAGTGGTGAAGCGTGAAAGCGGTCTGGAGAGACAACAGTCAAGAAATACAACAATGAAACTCTGAACAAGTACTCAAAAAGTACAAATAGTTTAATAATGGTTAAAAATACAAAGCAGACCTACTTTCTTTGGAAATGTATATCCACCAATAGCAACACTCTTCTCTACAATGATCCTTGCATTCACAGGAACTACAGGGTACATCCTACAGAACAGGAATAAATCAGGTCATATGGTTTAGGCTTGTTCTTGTTGCATGTAGGAAAAGTAAGAATACAAAGATACAAGGCTGATGGCCTTTCTGGAAATTGATTTAATCTTGGAACCCATCAACATTGGTGTGACAGGGATAAGTCTCACGGAGCAAACGGCTCATATTTCTGGGATTCTGGTATGGCCCACAGATAACAGGGTTAAGAATGCATTTCCTCAAATGGCTAATTGAGCCTGGCTACAAAAGTCTGGGAATCCACATTGAACCCCAAGTGGTAATTCCCAACTTTGTAGCATAATTATACATGTTTACAGGATGGGAAAAAGGTTGTTGGTGTCTATAGCTAATATAGTCTTGAATAACTAGTTACTGTTCTACTGCATTACCCGGACCTGCCTCATCCCCGCAAACAGCGAGGATGAGGCAAAGGCTTTAAACAGCTCTTCATATACCCAAGGGTGACATCCGTGAGACTGTGCATATTTTATACAGTATAGTTGAGACTTGAGAATGGACTTGCAGATAAGAAACACCTATTTTAAAGTCGCCGGTTTAAACCGTATTTACAGTATCTACAAAAAGCTAAATCCTTGTCGGATAGCCGATGGGTTCTAAGATTGCATTTTGTCTGACACGTTCAACATCTTTTGCTCTTCACACGGATCGTTTATCAGGCACACTAAAACAGGATTGGTTACATGCTCTACAAAAAGACTACAAGGAAAGCATGTCACGTCCAACACCAACATCCTGTCCTGTTACCAGCAGAATTGGTTTTCATATGCAGATATGTGTTTCTATGAACCTTCAGCCATCATAAAACCAAAACCAGTCTCACCTCAGTGCCTCCCTGATAACAGCCTTTAAATATGGCATCCGAGTGACCTCAGCAGCGGAGGGGATCCGCTTTGCTGGCACCATTGTGGACACTTCTTCATAAAGTCTGTCCTGGGTGTGAGGGTTCCTGGACAGCAGGTAAAAGGTCCATGTGAGGGTATTGGAGGTCTTAAGAATAAAGAAGAAAAGGCATTTAATAAACGGGCATAAAGATGCACACCTGTAAAAAAGGTGTACTAACATTAAAAACATTTTGAATTTGAGTGGAAGCCCAGCTTAGTTTCTGATATTTGACATGTTTTTTTCAGAATGTCATCTTTGTGTCATGATTTACCGTGTCCATCCCAGCTAAAAGGAGCTCAGTGATGCTGCCATACACGTCTTTGGTGCTCATCTGAGTGTTTGACAGAAGGTATGTTAGGTATTCCCCCTCCACTTCCTGGTTGTTCTCCACACGCTGCTGGATAACCTCCATCTTTTTGTCAATCAACTCTTTACCTAAAATAAGTGCAGAGTTTCATGTGTTATTGTTGTCCATAAGCTCTAACAACTAAAAGCTCCGGCTATCCGTTTAGCTTCAGCTGAGGTATTTGAGAAAGATGTTTGGTTGATCTTTAGCCTGATTCTTATCCAGAGGACCTGCAAAGAAAATGTTAATATGCATTTACATTGAATTATATTACATTACTGCTACTTCCTCCACGCTACTGTATCGTCAATAAAAAGTGGGCAGCTGCCAGGTAATGTTAGTATTGATTTACATCATTGAATTTGTCCAAAAAGCCCTGCATAGCCTTGCACCACATTAACCCTGATAGAAACACATTAGCTGCTTATATAGTCTGGGTGTTTGGTGTTCAGCGAGTCAACAGTCTGTAAAGCTGCTAACACTTTTTAGTTATAGTTTTTCATAGTTACGACAAAATGGTAAAAATATGTTTGTATATTTGGAGAACAGGAAGGTTAACTTCCTAACTAATGTAGCATGTTTATAATATGATGTTAACTTTTTACAATTGCATTACCCTTCAACGATTATACTACATTCATTTAAGGAGATAATCCTGCTGAGTCTCATTTTCTTTATTCCAAAATCCAATGGAAAAATCCCATATGGATTTGTGTCAAGGGAGCCCTTGTGATGCTTACTTCCAGGTCATCCTACAAAAATACGCTATCACTGCACCACTCTATAGGAGGATTAACAAGTGCCCAAGATTTAAATAAACATGCACCCTTAACTTGATTTAGTAAACCGCTTTAGCTTAGCATTAACTTCCAAGTTCACAACTTACCCTCAGGTGAGAATCGGTAGAGCTAATTGGATTTAAGATCAACAGTCTGTAAAGCTGCTAACACTTTTTAGTTATAGTTTAATAGAGAACTGAAACGAACGGAACTTGAAGTTGACTATACTACTATAAAATGAGCACAAAAAGCAAAGCATGAGCAAATTCTGTACTTTGCTTTTGTACAGATCGTCCTAAGTTGTTCCCTTAGGACATTCTTTTTGACTCAATGGATTGAAAGATATACACTTAAGCCTTGTCCATATGTAAACAGATATCTTTACAAACGGATGATTCCCTCTGTGTTCTCAAATGAAATATTGTCCACACAAGTAATGTGATTTCATAGTTGGACTTTGCCTGTAAAAGTGCTTTGCACACATGTTGTCCTGTCAGGAGATGGACTTGTTATAATAGAGAAAGTAGTTATAATAGCAGCACTACAAGTACATGTTGTTCGTAACAAAGACAGTCAAACCAGCTGTCACTTTTTCTGCGACTCACCAAAGCAGAAGATGCCCTCCCAGCCTTCGATGTAGCGCCTCCAGTAGGGCAGCAGACTGCGGCTCCACTTGGGCATCAGAAACGCAGCCATGTTGTAGGAGAACATCTGGCCTATGGAGTGGATAAAGTCTTGAGTCCCTGCAGGGATTTCCTTTTCCAGACACCCAAGCCTTGTCTCAAACAGTATGGAGGCGATACCTGAGTGGCAAAGGTTATGATTCAGGATAAGAAAAACCTTTCTGCAGACTTGCTCTCCCTTTGGATTAGTCAAACTCAACTGGTTGGAATGTAACAAAAAAGCAGCCAAAATGTAACCCTATTAATTCAATTTGAATGGCTTAAATATATAATCTTGAACACACAACAAAAGGCATTGTTTCACGAATAGCCAGGTTACAAAATATGGTCTGCAATGCAGACAATAGCCGATTGCTATTCAGGCAATGCGGTCCAGCTCTTTTGCACATGTGTTTTACCTGCATGCAACTAAATCCTGCTCAAGTGACTAACTGACTGTGAAGGGGAACTAGAACACTTTCAAAACCAAATGTTTGTCCCATTGTCGTCAGATTCTGTATTCATAAATGCAGACATCTGTCTCCAAGTGGCCAAATGACCTGCTAAAATGACAAGTTACTATGGTCCCTCTCCCATTTTTAACAGTAGGGGGATTTTAGGAAAATCATTAGTAAGCCTTCATTGGGTTCCTTTTTTTGGCGGGAGTGTCCAAGTCCAAAGGCAGAAGCAACAGGAAGCCTTTGGGATGCTAACAATGCTCTAAAGATATACGTTTCCTGTCGTGTCATATGTTTTGGTCCAGCATTTACCCTTACTCTACAATCTGGTCTTTTGAAAGAGCTTTTGGTTAGATTCCCGAAATAAGGTAGTGTAGTGACCACTTATTAATACACTGGGTTACATAATTCACACATGGAACTACAGTTGGGGGTATTGTTTCCGCACGGACATGTATGTGGTTTACTATATATGTTGTGTGCCCTCCTGGCTTCTCTCTCTTCTTCCCGGACTGCAACCGGACAACATGACCTTAGCTGCTCTTAAATAAAGTACCCTTATGCACCTTCATTGCACCGCCTCCGACTCCCTATCTCTCGGCACTACACTGATGACCCTGACAACGTCTTGTGAAGTTTCCGGGACGGACCCGAACACGGCAAAAGAAACTCTGGTTTTTTTCTCGAAATGCCGGGGATTTTTGGAATCGTCCGTGGCTGCCACCAGCACGCGGACTGAGGCTCGGTGCGCTTCCCGCGGAATGGCTGGGGACGTTGCTCGCCATTCCCGCATCGGCCTTCCGACTACAGGGAGACGATGCACGACCTGCTGGGTAGGGATGAACCCGATTGCTACCTCGTGGGGCTGTTTCTTCGGGATGTGCGGCTGCACGTCCAGGCAGCGCTAGCTAACGACGACTAGCAGCTAACCACGTTAGCTGACGACGGCTAGCAGCTGACGACGGCTAGCAGCTACCGATGGCGGCTAGCTGCTAACGGCTATCGACATTCGTCGGTTAACATCCGACTGTTAACAATTTTTTTCCGGTGCCGGAGAGGAGGTTCGACCAGCCGGTTGACCTCGTGTGGACACTCTCACTTTTTCACCACCTCGACGGCGGTTCCTGCCCGTCCCCACGTTTTTCATCGGTCCATGGGTGGCGCGCTTCGGGACCCTGTCTGGCCTCTCCTCTGTCCACGGCTCCTTTCTCCCGGGGAGACTGCTCCTGCCTCCCGGGGATACCTCAAGGCTTGCCAAGGATTTTGTGCCCGCCGCCGCTGTGCGTTTGCCTGCGGCCGGGTTGCTCTCCTTCCTCCCGGGGATACCTCAACGCCTGCCGAGGATTTCGTGCCCGCCGCCGCTGCGCATCTGCCTGCGGCGGGGTTGCGCTCCTTCCTCCCGGGGAGACTGCTCCTGCCTCCCTGGGATACCTCAACGCCTGCCGAGGATGTTGTGCCCGCCGCCGCTGCGCGTCTGCCTGCGGCCGGGTTGCGCTCCTTCCTCCCGGCGTGACTGCTCCTGCCCTCTGGGGATACCTCGACGCTTGCCGAAGACTTCGTGCCCGCCGCCGCTGCGCGTTTGCCTGCGGCCGGGTTGCTCTCCTTCCTCCCGGGGATACCTCAACGCCTGTCGAGGACTTCATGCCCGCCGCCGCTGTGCGTCTGCCTGCGGCCGGGTTGCGATCCTTCCTCCCAGGGTGACTGCTCCTGCCAGCTTTCTACGTCTGGTGGATGTGTTCTTCATTCGCCACGACACCTACTGCGGCCCCCTTGCAGCGGCCCGTTTCGGCCCGCCCCCGGTGGGGATGCCCTCGCCCTCGTTGAGGCCCCTACCCTCTCCTGCGGCCCCCCTTTCATCGGCCCGTTCCATGGCCCGGCCCTTCATCGGCCCGTTCCATGGCCCGGCCCTTCATCGGCCCGTTCCATGGCCCGGCCCTCACCTGCGACCCCACCCTCCTCGGCCCCTGTGGTGCTTCCTCCCGGACGCGAGGATTTTGCCAAGTTTGAATTCTGGGGGGGACCACTTATTAATACACTGGGTTACATAATTCACACATGGAACTACAGTTGGGGGTATTGTTTCCGCACGGACATGTATGTGGTTTACTATATGTTGTGTGCCCTCCTGGCTTCTCTCTCTTCTTCCCAGACTGCAACCAGATAACATGACCTTAGCTGCTCTTAAAGAGCCTGTGACAGCCTCCCAACAACTGTTGTGCAATGAAATATTGGGCTACTAAATAATAAAAACACTTTGTTTTGTTTCGATTTGTTTCCCTTTGTTGTGTGTTGCTGCGTCTCTCCCCCATTCTCATTGAGTATTTTTACAAAGAGTGAAACAAACAGCGCCCCTCTAGATGTTATGGTGAAACAGTAGATTGCACCCCATGTTGCGAGAGGAGGCCAGCCGAATCTGGCTTCCCTTGGTGAAAAAAAATGGAGGGATTGACCAAACAGATGAGGCTCACGTGATGCCCCTGCCAACCTGTGATTGGTCAGGGCCATGCCAAGGGAAGCCAGAGGCGGCTGGCCTTGCCTCCAATCAAATCGCATCAACTTAATGGTGCAGTGACGCGTCCTAAAATCCGGAAGTAAGCTGCGCTCGGTTTCCCTCGACAAAAAGGCTATGGGATTTCTCCATAGGATTTAGGAAAATAGCTCGAAATAAGGTCAGTGGAAAACGAACCTGTTAGATAAATGCACGTTTTGTTAAGTCGGATAATATCCACATGTCTACTCTACTTTTATCATTTTCGAATCATAAATCGAATCGATAGAAGATAGATAGCGTCACTGCATCACTCTCACCGCCGTTAGAAAGTAGCAAGCAACTGAAGCAAGTGCAATTATGGAGGGTGGAGATTTGCAGTATTTCATCAAAAATAATTGTACTAAACTTCCGCTACAGCAGCAACAACAAATACAATCTGATGACAGGCCGATGCCCAAACTGGAGCTGTGTACAGCGAGGAAAAAAGGAGCGAATCGGACGTAAAACGTTAAAGGTCTCCTGATTTAGTTTGTGAATGAATGCTTATTAGAGTTTGGGCTGGAGAGTGCGTGCGGACCTGTCGGTTAGATAACAGGCGTGTGTAAGTCCTGCATCTGTATGATACAAATGTGTGTAAAATGATACCGGGTGCTGTAATCACTCATCTGGTTACTATATTACATTGACCACCACACCCCCTACCCACAAGAAAGGACGTATTATTGGCTTCCCCTAATTTTTTTCCCACGCCACGCTACTGACGTTAATAACGTTGTAATTAAGTTGACTACAGTATATTCATATTTGTCAGTGCTTTCATGTCAATTTGGCTAACATAAACATAAATGATCGTGGTGAAGATGATGATTAAATTAAGATTACAAATCGGTAGTGAGAGCTGCTGAATTTCCTCCCGTCGGATGTGATATAAAAACAAATCGATTATTTTTGTAGTTGTAAACTCAAGTGGATGAAACTACATTTATTAGTGCTTTCATGTCAATTCGGCGAACATATGATACATTAAAATGTAATGATCGTGAGGATGATGATTAAAAATCGTTTGTTTGAGCTGGTCTGCATTTCCTGATGAGAAAACAAAACCGATGCTTTTTGTAGTTGTAGTACACCAACATGGATTAAACGTGTGGTTTTTTTACCACAATGTTGGGGAAATTAATGGATAAAATGCACGGATTATGATTATTATTCCCACTCCGATCGGGACACTAGGTCCACCGTTTCCCCGCAGCGAGGCCCCCCCCGTTGACAGTTTACGTGGGCTGGGCTGGGTGCAGTGGCGGACTGCCCATCGGGAGGAATCCCGATGGGCCGGTACCGAAGTGGGCCAGTCGGATAAATCACTAGCACATCCCCCACTCCCCCCGTTGACAATTTACTAGCGGTACCGAAGTGGGCCGGTCGAGAGTCCCGGGATGATTTTTAGTCCCAGTCCACCACTGGCTACAGCCTACATGACCGTATAATCGCCCATATTGACGCACCTAATTCCTAAACAGATACAACATAAACCGATCCTTCAGCCTCATATGAGCTCTCAGACACGTTCAAAATTAAACTGTCATCGCTGTCTGAGCTTGCTGCTGTGTGCGCCATCGTGCGTTTACATGCAGATGCTGGGATCCTGAACGGTGCAGCTGGAGCGCTGTGCCCGCAATGACTTCACACATAATTTGGCGGGACTTGAAGAATCCCCGAGAAGATCCAGAAAATGGTCAACATTGAAGGGCAGATTAATGGTTATCAAAGTACAAATATCCAAAATTTGTTCAGTAACGATTTTCAAGGGGACAATTTACTCAAATTGATGGCGTTTGGATGATGGGGGAAACTTGTGTCACAGGCTCTTTAAATAAAGTACCCTTATGCACCTTCATTGCACCGCCTCCGACTCCCTATCTCTCGGCAGTGGCACTACAGTAGGCTATTTGGCTAATTCAAGATCTCAAGATTTTTCATGTTTTATGACTTCGACATAAAATATGTCAGTAAATACCCCACTGGGGAACGCCTGAGGCTTTAATGTGTCTTCAAATCAGCAGCTGCTAACAAGTTGATAAAAGAGACAACTAAATGTCAACAAGCCAAACATTAGCCACCTTTAGCCTAGCTTGGTGACATAAAGTCCAGCAACCGCAATGCAGCATGTTTATAGCATTATATTAACTTTTTACTTCAGTCAATTGCATTACCCTTAAACAATTATACAATTGTTGGTAATTTGAGGAGATAATCCTGTTTATTTTCTTTATTCCAAATTCCAATGGAAAAAACCCATTGGCTTTTTGTCAAGGGAGCCCTTGTTATGCTATCTTCCGGGTCATCCTACACAAATCTGTCATCACTGCACCACCCTAAAGGAGGATTACTAAATTAAATAAACATGCGCCCTTACACTAAACAGCTTTAGCTTAGCATTAACTACCAAGTTCCCTACATACCCTCTAGTGAGAATCGATAGAGCTCGTTGGCCATGTCAGGCACCAAGTCTTCTTCGGGGCTGCACTGACGGAGGTAGGAGAGCCTCTTGATGAAGTCTGTAACCACGTCATTGATATCATCCCCATACTGTGCGGATTCCTTCGGATGCAGCATGCGTTTGTTCAGCATCACCCTCAGGTTATACCACCTCTCCCCCTCCCTAAGGACACAAATACAGTCACCAGGACTCAATCACAGCAGCTTTGATTAATATTGCTTACATTTATCAAGTCATACTATATCTGGTGAAAAATGTATGGTTTTCATTCAGATATATAGTCTGTATGTTTGCAGAATTAACTGATATTTCATAGGGACCAAATTAAAAACAATGCTTCCAAATCCAAGGCAATATTCTAAGCTAAAGGTGCAAAAAAGAAAATATGACAAAGCCTTTCTTGCTGTGTTCAAATTGAATTTCGTGGGAGCAAAATAATAATTATAATAATAATACATTGTATTTGTCAAGCGGAGTAGTCCAAATACAAAATAAAAAAGTTGAATAAAAATCGAACTAGTAAAACAACACTTGGCACAAGGTCACAACATTAAAAAGAACAGTGTGTATTTGGTGTGTGAAGTCAGACCTTTACACACCATCAGGTCAATCAAAAAGTAGACTCAACAAAGGACCTTAACAATCTTAATGGTCAACGAATCGTGGAGATTTAAACATCAAACTTCCAATACTAGCTGGTCACAATCACCCATTCTCTTTCACATGACAAGACTTTGCCCTGGAAACCTCTTAAGCAAGTTTCTCAAGGCTTTACAATGTATTGTTTGCACATGGTCCAGTGGTCGTAAGGAAATGTAAATGAAGCATTGCAACAGTTTTTAAGAGTCTTACTCTGTGAAAGGCCCATAGCCGTATCCCCTCATATCCCGATATTCCTTCCACGCGGACAGGTCTCCTCGGGTGGGGAACTTCTCGTCGTTCCTCAGCACTTCCTCCAGCAGCTGTGGAGTGTTCACTGACACGCTCTTCTTTCCCTCTCTGTATATGGGCCCATATTGCTGCTTGTTATAGATCTGATGGTGGGCAAAGTGATGCAAAAAAGACGAGTGAACAGAGAAACCTGTTTTGATTTGATTTGATAAGCAGAGGTAATCCTTTAGGAGCTAAGGAGAAATGAATAAAAGTCAGCGCTGAGCCTCAATCATCAATGTTACAAACAACAGAAAAAAAGGACATAAATCTCATGAACTCTGAGCTGAATTCCAATTGTCACATTAAGACAATTACTTACGTCTGCATACTACCACCTGAAGGATATACTGTATCTAGGAGTAAAGGACTAATGTCAAAGCAGGATTTGGAGTCTGGATCTTCAGTAGACTTGACTACTGTAATGGTGTCTTCACAGGTCTCACTAAAACTGCAGCTGATTCAGAACGCTGCTGCTCGAGTCCTCACTAACACTAAGAAAGTGGATCACATCACTCCTGTTCTGAAGTCTTTACACTGGCTTCCTGTCCGTCAAAGAATAGATTTCAAAATACTGCTGCTGGTTTATAAAGCACTGAATGGTTTAGGCCCAAAATATATTTCTGATCTCCTGCTAAATTATGAACCATCCAGATCTCTCAGGTCTTCAGGGATGTTTCAGCTTTCAGAACGAGTCAGAACTAAACATGGAGAAGCAGGGTTCAATAAAGGTCCATCTTCTTCTTCTTCTTCTTCAGTTATTATGCTCCAAACATCTAGAACGAACTCCCAGTAAACTTCAGGTCTGCTGCAACTGTTTTCAATCAATGCTGAACACTTTTCTTCTTGCTGTTGCTTTCGCCTGCTCTTTGCTTCTTCATGTTTTTCATTTTTGAAAGGACTTTGAATTACCTTATGTTGAAAGGTGCTTGTGACGAAGGTAACTTCGTCACTATGGACTGACGGCTTCATGCCGGGTAATATTGCACTTTATTAGGGTGATTGCACAGTACAGTTGACATTACATATTTGCACATAATTTATACTAATTATTGAGGTATTATTTTTTAACTGATTAAACCGTATTTATTGGAATGTCGTCTGCCAGGTGCTGGTCGGGTCCTCGGCTCCGCCTGAAAAGATAGGGGAGTTTGCGAGAGCGCCGAGAGTAGTTATGCTGGTGTAAGGATGACAGCGGTTGAGAGTAATCAGGGTGCAAATAATATGTTGATGTCTGTGGCTGATGATTGTGTGCACCTGGTGTCCTGTGTTGTCTCCTCCCCCCTCACCTGTGTCCTGTTAGTATGTGTGTATTTAGGTGCTGTTTCTTTGTAACTGGGTGTGTGTGAGATCCTTGTGGCTGCAGGATGTGTGCAAGGAGAACTGCAGGATTGAGGCTGTGAACTTTGTGCACATGATTTTAATAAATGCCCACGTCGGGTTATATTTTTGGACGTTCTGCCTCTGCCTCCTTGCTTGGTCTGGGCCGCTCAACGGTCAGTCTCACAGTGCTATATAAATAAACTTGCCTAAGCAAGCTCCTGAGGAAAGGAACATAAATAGATGGTTCCATAAAAGCCAAAATGTTGAAATATCCCATTGATCCAATGCACTGTGTTGCGTAAAAACAGAAAGTGTTCCTGCAGACAATCCTCAGTGAGTCAGCTGAGACCGGCTGTTATCTGGAGGTGACTATGGAAACAAAGGTCTGACATGTTCTATAATGCATTCTTGCTGGAGGTGAATGCACTCAAGCAGGTCAACCAAAGTGAGAGCCTATCAGGGATTTCTGGAATGCATGCAGGGAAAAATAATCTGGCATTACTGCCCTGCTGCCAACCCTAACCCTAATGTGTGTCGTCCAGATATCATGCAGTGCACTGCAGCCTACCTGTAGCTCATGCAAACGGTTGTAGAAGCCCTGAAACACCATCCTGTAGATCAGCTCAAAGAAGCTGATATTAGGCAGGTCCTCCACAGTCCGAGGCTTGTCCTGGAAAGCAGAGAGGGCCCCAGAGGCAGGAGAGGAGCTTCCCACCCCCCTGGAGCACAATCTGCCCACAGAGTTAGGGTATGACAGCAACAAGCGTCCATTCCTCTGCACCAGAGCCCGGCACAGCCATGCAGCCATGATGAGAGCAGAATGGAAAACACAAGGCTCCTGTTACATCCCAGAGGCCTGCTCAGCAAGGAGGGGCCAGGTCCCTCACAAGGTTTAACCCTTACAGCACCAAGGGGCCATACAGAATCCCATACATCTGTAGTGCAATATTTCAAGCCTTTTCTTTGGCAATATCTTGTTTAATATAACCTTGTGCTTCCAATAAATCATTGTTGGGAAAAGTGCTTTGTAAAAAAAGTGGTATTTCTGTGGCACATATCCAGGAAAGCACAGACTTTGTAGGATCTGGTGTATAGCTTCTTCCTGTGACAGTAACAATTAATGCGAAGGACTGATTTAAAAAAAATGTTTGCTGCTGAAAAGTTGCAATTTCTGTTAGTTGGACCAGTTAATGTTAGAGGGAACATATTATGCTAATTTTCAGGTTCATATCAGTATGTAGTGTCTCTACTGTGTCATGTCTCCATACTTTAATGTTCAAAAAGCTCTTTATTTTCTCATACTGCCTGTGCTGCAGCACCTCTTTTCACCCTCTGTCTGAAACCAGAGCCCAGTCTGCTCTGATTGGTTAGCTGGCCGGATCTGTTGTGACTATGTTACAGAAGTAAATAAAGGAGCACAATGGAGGCGTTTCAGGCCATCCTATATAACCAAGTTACATACATTTTTTCCATTTACATGCACAAAAACAGACTACAGGAAATGGAAAACCCCCAAAACACAATAGGGCCTTTTTAATGTGTATGTGGTAAAAGCAGTTGAAGTGGAGGCATTACAGTAATTTCACTGTGAAATGAAAGCAGTTGAAATATAATTTGAAGGAAGAGCGATGAAAGTAATTGAAATGTAATAATTGAAGGAAAAGAGATTAGGATAGTTGAAGAGTTATTTAAATGCAAGAGATGAAAGCTGTTGAAATGAGCCCCGAGTTGAACCGGATCTAGGCAAGACGTTATCTTGAATTCTGAGGAACCGGGATGGACATGGTTCACCATTTGCTTTTTTATAGATTAGACATTTATTCAATGAATCTGGGAAATAATCAGCCGATTAATCAATAATTAAAATAATTGTTAGCTTCAGCCCGTTAAATAAAAAATGACATGACCGTCAATAGTTAGTTAGAGTTGTATATCATTTAAGTAACAGAGAATATAAGCAGTTATGTTATTCATGTTCACTGATTAGCTGCCGTCACATGTTGCGTAATAAAGACCTGCCAATGAATGGGACTTGCTTGTGTCTACATGTGGACTACGAACTGTGCCTTTAAACCATGCGTGCCGACATGCTGAGTCATGGTCTGCTGCTTACAAGATGAGGAGAGATTAAACAAATGTTTTTCAAGATTAAGAAAGTTCTTTAAACCTTACTTCCTGTTGAGCTCTAGGGAAAGTCTGTGCCATTCATGTGATGGAATGCAGTGAAAACTAATGGATTCATTATAAATCACATAGATAGAACAGTGTTTTTCACATTTCTCTTTATTCAGTAATCACTCTCCAAACACTGCAGTCCTCTGTCATTATTTCAGCTGGGCAACATTGTCTATAGATCCTGCAGGGTCCATTTTGTGCAGCAGGAAGTGTCCCTGCACCTGAGCGGCGCTGATCTCAGAGTGCACGGCCAGCGCCTGCTCTGCAAAGCGGTCCGCTTCAGAGGCAGGCTCCTCCGGGTAGAACCTCCAGAACATCTGAGTGAGCTGCCCGTGGGTGCAGTTCCCGATGTACTGCTTCAGATCCACACGGCCGGGCCGGATCAGCGCCGGGTCCAACCTGCAGAGAGTGGCAGTGAACGTCAAAGAAAATACTGGGTCAAACTCACCAGGGATCTCAAAGAACATATTCTTAGGTAGCGACATCGAAGTTGTTCTGTCCATTTTGAAAATAAATAATGTTACTGGGTAGTTGTTAAAGTATATATTACTTCAAACCACTTTAAATATTTTAAAGCTGCTTTTGTATATATTTTAGCCACAAGAGGGTAGCATATGAAAGCTAGAAGCACATTCTTTAACCTTGTAAAGCTGCAGTGTCTATGTGTTAGCAAACTGTTGTTTATACACAGTGGCGACTGGTCATTAGGGGCAGGTGGGGCACAGCCCCACCTAGTGTCAGCAGAAAGTATTAAAAATAATGATTACAAAAAAATGCAAAAAATAAATAAAAAAATATATAAAATATATTTTAAGATCATGTTTAATCATCTGATTCGTCTGTACATTGCTGTTTTAGTATGTGTTCTTCTAATTAGTGTCCACAGTGTGTGCCTATTGAGCTGTTTAGAGCCATGTGGGACAAAACCCGATCCTGCCCCTCCCTCTCACTGTCTAAGTGAACGGTGACTGTAAAAACTACACTGCGCATGCTCAGAGTATTTTCCTATTTGATGTGTGTGGCAAAAAAATAATGACCATAGGGGCACTGAGCTGCCATCCCCACCATACGTCATCTCACATCATTCAGAGCTGATTGGCTGTAAGTACGTGTGCCGCGAAAAGTGTGGTGTGTGAAGAGGAGACGAGAGAGCTGCAGTGAGGCGTCCTAAAACCCGGAAATAAGCTGCGCATGGCTTCCCTCGACAAAAAAGCAATGAGATTTCTCCATAGGATTTTAGAAAATAGCTCCGAATAAGATCTGTGGGAAACAAACCTGGTAGATAAATGCACGTTTTGTTCAGCCGGATAATATCCACATGTCTACCCTACTTTTATAATTTTCTAATCATAAATCTATCGATTAGATTAGATTTATGATAGACTTTTGAAACTACAAGAAGATAAGGAGGACATTTACAAAAAAGTAATAGAGATTTTTGTCCAGAAGGATAGGCAAATGGACTTCATCTTCAAGTCAAGACCACCATTTTATTGAAAATGGGATCTTACTGAGAGAGAACAATTCAATATTTAAATGATAAAATTAAATTTTTTGGGTATCCTTCTGTTGAACTGTCTGTTTAAAATTAATCGAAGGATCAGACTAAAAAAGCTTTTGAAAATAATATTATATTTTGATTAGGTCAAAATATAATATTTGTAACCTGAAGAGTCAGTGCCAGTGCCTCACCAGCCATGAACCTCACTGCAGAAGCTTATATATAGACATCTAAAAATGTTGTGCCCCACCACTTTTGTACATATAGAAATGCCACTGTTTATACATCCAGTAGACACAGAGTGACTTAAGCATTCACACACAAGTCACATCGCTCACCTTACAAAACAAATATTTAATGGAGCAGCTTTCCGTTTGTTTTCTTTTAGATCAATTCATAGAAATGTCAACCACTTCCTAGTTTTTTTTCTTAATACATGTTCTACTTATTTTTAAATAGTATTTCCAATTTGGTTTTAGTTTTTTTTTTTATATAGTATTTACAAGTTCTGACAATTGGTAGATCTGACCTTGGAGTCGTTTTGTAAAGGTTAATCGCCAAATAGCTGCTGAACAGTTGTTCCTTAGGGGGTCTTTGTGGACGTCAAAATCATGGGTTTATTTGCATTAAAGATAAAAACACAAGTTATTTTCTCTGCTATTTGATTTTAGGGCTGTCAAAGAATCACCCAAGCTCCAAGGAAGACAAATGATTTGGAGTAGGATAGCAGCAGAGATAATATGCCTTGTGTAGCACATATTATACAGCGGCCCTGTGTGATAGCGGCATAGTCGATGCTTCAGCTAAATGTCGGGAAAATAATCGGAGTACATGCCAATAATTAAAAAGAAAATCATGTTTTAATAAAGTAAAAAAACGTCTGATTTCGCTCAGCGGTTTGTCATTATTTCTGTCATAGATTTCTGTTTTATCTACAGGGTTCTTACACCTTTTCCAAAGTCAAATTCAAGCACTTTTCAAACATTTTCAAGGTGCATTTTCCAGCTTTTCAAGCATCTTACAGCTGTTGTAAATTACATATTTATATACACATACTCAAATGATTATTTCCCTACCTCACATTAAATCAGATGTTCTTTATGCTATAAACAACCAAATGTGTGTTTCGTGATAGCCTTCTACACGAGGATGAAAAATTAAAGAAAATAAAACTAAGTTTAATATTTCAAAATGAGTGACCCATCTGTATGTCCCATATAACCTGTCTGAGCCAATATAAAACAATCAGCCAAATAACTTTTCAATACATTATTGATTACTATTTTTGAGGTACTTTTAGGTTGGCAGTCAAGTCAAGTCAGAGGTACATGGTGTACTTCTACTCCACTACAGTTCAGAGGTACATGGTGTACTTCTACTCCACTACAGTTCAGAGGTACATGGTGTACTTCTACTCCACTACAGTTCAGAGGTACATGGTGTACTTCTACTCCACTACAGTTCAGAGGTACATGGTGTACTTCTACTCCACTACAGTTCAGAGGTACATGGTGTACTTCTACTCCTCTACAGTTCAGAGGTACATGGTGTACCTTCTACTCCTCTACAGTTCAGAGGTACATGGTGTACTTCTACTCCTCTACAGTTCAGAGGTACATGGTGTACTTCTACTCCTCTACAGTTCAGAGGTACATGGTGTACTTCTACTCCTCTACAGTTCAGAGGTACATGGTGTACTTCTACTCCTCTACAGTTCAGAGGTACATGGTGTACTTCTACTCCACTACAGTTCAGAGGTACATGGTGTACTTCTACTCCACTACAGTTCAGAGGTACATGGTGTACTTCTACTCCTCTACAGTTCAGAGGTACATGGTGTACTTCTACTCCTCTACAGTTCAGAGGTACATGGTGTACTTCTACTCCACTACAGTTCAGAGGTACATGGTGTACTTCTACTCCACTACAGTTCAGAGGTACATGGTGTACTTCTACTCCTCTACAGTTCAGAGGTACATGGTGTACTTCTACTCCTCTACAGTTCAGAGGTACATGGTGTACTTCTACTCCTCTACAGTTCAGAGGTACATGGTGTACTTCTACTCCACTACAGTTCAGAGGTACATGGTGTACTTCTACTCCACTACAGTTTCAGAGGTACATGGTGTACTTCTACTCCTCTACAGTTCAGAGGTACATGGTGTACTTCTACTCCTCTACAGTTCAGAGGTACATGGTGTACTTCTACTCCACTACAGTTCAGAGGTACATGGTGTACTTCTACTCCACTACAGTTCAGAGGTACATGGTGTACTTCTACTCCTCTACAGTTCAGAGGTACATGGTGTACTTCTACTCCTCTACAGTTCAGAGGTACATGGTGTACTTTTCCTCCACTAAATGTATCTAATACCTTTAGTTACTTCACAGATGTGGATGAATGATGTGAAATATAATCAAGTGTTGAATCAGCCTTTAGTTCCACCTGGAATAAATTCACCAGCTACCCTGCAGTATACAAAGTCATTCAAACTAGCTGCACCTTTACCAGCTTTGAGAACACTTTCATGATCAATCATTATAAAACATATCATATATTATGAAATGGACCAATCTGCTCAATCACTACTTTTACTGTCGCTACTTTAACTATATTTGGATGAGAATACTTTTCTACTTTCACTTGAGGAATATTTTTGAATGCAGGACTTTTACTGTGACAGAGTATTCCTACACTCTGGTACTTCTACTTTTGCTAAGTACAAGATCTGAGTACTTATAATTTCACTACAAGATCTGAGTACTTATTCCACCTCTGGTAGCGTATTAGTCTGAATTGTAGCTACAAAATCACGCAGAGCTGCATACAAATAGACGACAAGTAACAATAATATTTACAAATGTGTACAATGATTTGTAGGTAATTTTGACATCAAGACACCTGACTTATACATCTTCAAAGGAAGACTGTGTTCATTCTACAATTACATGGGATTAAAGCAACATGTAGTTTTACTTGTATAATACTTCAATTTTATATAAAGACAGTTTGTTTTCATCTGATTTCAATTAAACAAAGTCTTGGCTTTCAGAATATTAAACTTGTTTCGGCAAATTCAGATGATAAATACAACTTTGAAGCTTCTGCATAATTACAAGCGGAGAACTGAGTAACTTAACGTCACAGAAAGCATAACAACAGCTGGTGTTTCTTGTGAGTGTTTCCCCGGGAAACAAACGCAAAAATACACAAACACACTCGCGAGCTTCCCCCAGACCAGTAATACAAACGAAGATGTGTCTTCGGGTCAATGTGACTGATTTCGAGAGAGCAAGTCACATTTGGTTTAGGCACGAAACATACTACCAGTAGAAATACATTGCTTTCAAAATCGCTCTGTGTCGAATCAATAGATTATATTTCGTGACTATAACACGAAATGCCGTGAGTGCTTCATCCTCTGAACACCACAGGATGGCGACTGTAACGCACATAACATAGGTACGCTCCTCTGAAATGATTGTCCCCTGCAATTAATATTATCTCTCAATCGAGTTCGCTATTCAGCTCGCTAACGTTAGCTTAAACAAACGTAACATGCAACGTTAGTCTAATCTAAAATGCTCTTCTACGGCATACCTTTCATGTGGCTCGTCAGCGCAGACTCTCGCATCGTTATTTTGGCAAACTTTGCAGGAGGCTACTCGTGGGCTTGACCCTCGTCTTAGCCATGGCTTGTATTTGTCTTCTGCTAGCCAACGCTCGTTGAAACGGCAACCTCCTGGCACACAGTCATCTATCACTCTCATCAGAATGCCCAGGTCACACGTAACACAAACACTTGCAGGTTGCGCGCATAGCGCGGGAAGGTGCAGCGGAGCTGTTTTATGTAGAAGCAATTTATTGTAAAAGTAAAGCATTTACATTTTCAAGCACTTTATCTCAATTTCAAGCACCATTCCCAAAATTCAAGCACTTTCCCAACCTTGAAAACACCACGTCAAATTTCAAGCATTTTCAAGGATTTCAAGCACCCGTACGAACCCTGTTTCTACTATTAAATACTAGTATTTTGAACTTGTGATTAAATCATAGTTAATGACGCAATTACATTTTGTAATCAATCGATGGCACTCATTTTGATCTAAGTGATAGAGATGTTGTCCTGGTTGTTGTTTTTTGGCTTGGACACCAACCCTTGTTTCCCAGGTATAGTGTTAACACGTGTTAATCCAACAGTACCTGTCAATGAAGTTGGTGGTCATAAAAACGATTCTGGCCTCAGAGGAAGCCACTCCGTCCAGAGAGTTGAGCAGGCCGCTGAAGGTCAGTCTGCCCATCCCCTGGTAGGCCAGAGGGTCTGCAGGAGGAGAGGAAAGGGATTCCAAAATATGAAACACAAAGACAGTCTGTCAACCTCAGCTTTTCAATTTGCCGTCAGTCGGTAGTTATTTAAACCTCTTTATACTATAGTGTCTTGCATAATTGTACAATACATATCTTCAGTGGCTAATTTACTAAATGAGTTTTTCCACAGCAGATATCTCCAATTCAGTACACACACACTTTCCAGTCTAATTACTGTGTTTATTCAGAAACCTTTTATAGGGCTTTGTTTATATATTGTTCATAGCCTGATATATATCACATTATATTCCTAGAAACATGGCAAATATTTATTTTCTGATTTAGTTTTTAAGACATGTACATAATTCCCTCGATTATGCTCTTCTTTATGTTACCCTTGTTTCCTACAAACAAACAGACCCCAGGTCCCTCCCAGCTGCTTACTCTCAGTGGGCAGCAGGTCTCGGCTGACGAAGGCTGCGTCGACGTCCTCCAGCAGGATGATGCTCTGCTGGGGGGCCACGCTCAGCAGGTGGTTCAGCCGGTCGTCTGACAGGCTGCGGTCGCTCAGACTCATCAGACAGATGCTGTAGCCCAGCTCTCCAGCCAGCGCCGTGCTGCAATGGGAAGGGCGGAAAGGTGGAGGGGAGAATTGAAGTACTCAAAACAGCCTTCAAAGTCACAGACTCTAAGCAGGAAGGGTGGGAATCCAAAGCACACTCACATAAAGCTGCTTTTCCCACACCCTGGGGGGCCGTACAGCAGATATCCTCTTCTGTAGGGGATGCCTGCAAACATTTATTATAGAAGCATGATCTTACAGAACACAGTAAAGATGAATTACTTTTTTTAACTTTTTTTCAAAAACATGTAAAATTAGAAAGAACATATATAAGATACATTCGCTTTTGAATGTTGTGACAATATATTCATAACTTTCATGTGATAAACAACGGAGCATTACAAAAATCCTGCATTGACACAAAAACTCAAAACTAAAATGCTCCTTCTGTTTAATAAATGTTTTTTCTATTTAAAAACTTAGTATATTTGTTGCAATAGATGCAAAACATAACAAGTATTTAGGATGAAAAATAATTCATAAATAAAAAAATATTGTCCACAGAAATAATTAATTAACTTAATCATCTTTTTATATAATTCATTCACCTTCTCAGTTGATGCATTCAAGTGCATATAGGAAACTGAACTTGCATAACAAGACTCTTAAATGTTGTTAATGTCAGTGAATGCCCCAACAAGAAGGACTTTATAGACAACAATGAAAGAAACTATTGTATAACCAGGCAACAGAAAGATAAATCACTCAAACACTGCTTCCTCAAGCGCTGAGTGAATATCCCACCTCTGTCTGTGTACCACTTGGGGTTTCCGATGAACTCCTTCACATCGTCTACGATCCGTTCGGCCACGGCCTCCTGCAGCACCACAGAGCTGAGGGGTCGGCGTCGCCGCGGAAACCCAAATGGCCTCCACTCGGCGCCCATGGCTGTGTACATCACTGTCCGTCCCTCTTCCTGCTTCATGGCCAATTCCCTCGCTGCAAAACATGATAGACAACCAGTGGCGTTTTTATATGTACAAAAGTGGTGAGGCACGAAGAACTTCGATGTGTATAAAGCTTCTGGTGCTTTTTTAAACGCATAAACAAATTGCTGTAGGCTATCCATGGTTCCGATAGAGAGAGGGGGGGGTATCAACAAAATATATGACATAACATGAACTTACCAAGGCTGAAGTAGATGGTCAACTTCATTCTTTTTCTTTCCGTTTTACTGATTTAGTGCTGATACAGCATTCCATCTATATGTTATTCTATGCACAAAAAGTTTATTATTATTATTCCGCTGGTATTTTGGCCCTCTTCTCCTCCCGCAATGAACATCGCAGAAACTCCGTTCAAACATCAAAACGTTCAGCTCGGTCGGGAATCGATGGCTATTACTTTTCTCATTCATAACTTTCATAATTCCAGAGATACATCCCATAATTCATCACATTTTTAAAATGGAAGTCAATGGAGAAATTCTTCAGACTTCAACAAATCTTCATGCGAATTCAACTGCTAACTGTTCATTCCTACTTTCACTCAGAAACCTCCTTCCAACTTTAAAATGTTACACATCTTTCTGACATTATTCGTGTAAAACAACTTTTAAATATGATTCTTACTTTTAGAGATATTAAACATTGTTCAGACCTTGGTAAAGAGGTCTTCTTCAGATTTTAACATTAACTAGAGTGCGTGATGTCACAGCTAGAGGGTAGAACATCGTGAAATTCGCATTCATATATTTTTTTTAAACTGCCATAATTCCCAAACCCTACATTCCTGAAACATAATTTGTCATGACAAACGTAGGAAAACATCTCGTAGCTTGAAAAATGACAAATAATTAAAGAAAATGCCTCTTGAGGGCACGAAGTGACAAAAACTTTCAACATGCCTCCATTAAAGCCCATTGTACTTTCAGGCTGATATTTCCTCACAACAGCAGCCGCACACCTTTAGTTAATCTGCCAAAAAGGCCACATTATTGACCCGAAAGTACACAAACATTTCACAGATATCTCTCTGTTCTTCCACAAAACGTTCACATGTAAGAGGTGTATCTCTCTTCAGAACAATGCAAACCTGTGATCTCTACAGAGCTCGTTAGTTCAACTATAAACACCTGTGTAATGGAACACGATGATGTCATCACTCCAACATGCTCAGAGCAGCAGACTTCAGATAGCAGTGTGCTAACAGTCCAGCCGTGAAGACATCCGGGACAGTTTGAGATTTATTCAAATGCCGTTGCCATGGCAACACAATGCTCGACTTGAAACACGGTTTTCTCATAACTTCAGTGAAAATACTCCAAACAGCCCAAAACTTCACAGGTTTAGTAACGATGCAGCCATCAACGCATCTAAGCGTATTATGGGGTGTCATCAAATGCCGTTGCCATGGCGACAGACAACTCGCCATGAAACATGATGTCGCTGTAAGTCCAATGGACACGGTCCAATCGTCCCCCAATCTTCACTTGTATATCACCGGTCCATGCCTCAACAGCTCTACGTCAAATCTGGGATCTCACCATATGCCGTTCCCATTGGAAACGGCATATGGTGAGATCTCAGATTTGGCGTTCCAGGTTTGGTAACGATGCAGCCATCAACGCATCTAAGCGTATTATGGGGTGTCATCAAATGCCGTTGCCATGGCGACAGACAACTCGCCATGAAACATGATGTCGCTGTAAGTCCAATGGACACTGTCCAATCGTCCCCCAATCTTCACTTGTATATCACCGGTCTATGCCTCAACAGCTCTACGTCAAATCTGGGATCTCACCATATGCCGTTTCCATGGAAACGGCATATGGTGAGATCCCAGATTTGGCGTTCCAGGTTTGGTAACGATGCAGCCATCAACGCATCTAAGCATATTATGGGGTGTCATCAAATGCCGTTGCCATGGCGACAGATCATTCGCCATGAAGTTAATTCAGAAGTTTGCAGTTCAAATATTCTGCTGCTTTTCCAAGCCTTTTTACTTTCTTTTCTTCTCTCATCACACATTCAAGCCCCCAGTGTTCATGTATCATTTCAATCTAAATTCTTCACTTTCTTCTTACACATTACATTTCAGCATAGCAGTTTAGCGTCAGATTTTCAGCATAAAGCATTCCTACTGGCAATTTCTTCAGGAATTGCATTCTCTAGTTGTAATCGCTATACGTTGCTCTCTCTCGTCTCCTCTTCAGATCTACACTTTTCGCGGCACACGTACTTACAGCCAATCACCTCTCTGAACTATGAGATTACGTTTTGGTGGGGTTGCCAGCACTATGCCCCACTGGTGATTATTTTTTTGCCGCACACATTGAATACAAAAAGACTGAGCATGCGCAGTGTAGTTTTTACACTTACAGCACCCATTCATTTCTACAGCAGAGCGAGGGGCTTGCCCCACATTGCTCAACACGGCTCAATAGGCACACTGTAGACACTAATTAGAAGAACGCAGACTAAAACAGCAATATACAGACGAATCAGATGACCATGATCTTGAAATATATTTGAACATGTATTCTCTTTGCATATTTTTGGAATGATTATTTTCATTACTTTCTGCTGACACTAGGTGGGGCTGTGCACCTGCCCCTAATGACGAGATGCCACTGTAGACAACTGCACTGAATCACCTCGAAATGGAAAAGAGACGCAACACAAACCTAGTATTCTGCATCTGTTATATGCACACACTGCAGAGCTGCGTACACCTTTACCTTCTTGTAGGATGTTAAAGAAGATTTGTCTGTCCCTGCCTAAAGCAGTGAAGGTTACAGACTCCCACGGGGTGCCGGTGTGCAGATCCACCATCTGCTTCTCCCTGGTCCTCTCCACCCTGATCCACTTCCTGCCGTACCTGCAGAAGACAACACCTGACAGTGTAAGAGGATGTAATGTTGACAGAGAGAAGCCATAGAAACAGAATTAAAGCTGTACAAATGGTTATCAGTTCAAGCATATTGGTATAATGCTGAAGTTATGGAAGCCCTGATAGGAAAGTGAGAAACAAAACACTGGTGAAACACTTTTCTACTGTAAGTCTGATTTCAATTATTTTCTCTCCTGTATTTATGATCAGAAAAAGGTTTTGTTAGTTTATTTTTTTCTTATAACTTCCTTAATTGTTTTCATCCGTGGAATAGGTTGAGAAAACAAATTGCCACAAGTCACTGAAACACACCAGAACCCTATTTTCTAACAGACTAAAAGCATTCATGTTTTCCATAATGGCAGAACATTTCAAAGTGAAAATAAAGACAAGAGTGATTTTATAAAACGTTCTAACACACAATAAACGGTATGTGTTTTGTATCTTGTGTTTTAGTCTAATTTGAACATGGGGAAGTGGTGCACTTCAGCCTCTAGTGGTCTGATTAGGTATTACATCAACAAACAAAAATGACACCTGCCCTACTTTTTTTTACCCATTCCACATGTTTATTTTAAAAGAAAGACAACAAATATAATATAGAAAATAAATCCTGTTTAAAATAAATCCCCCAAACCTGTTTTCACAGATTAAAAAAACTATTCAGATACCATTAGTGATTAACCTGGCAAACCCATTAGTCATGATTTAATAAAGACGGGAGAGAAAACGAATTAAAGAAAGTAATTACTAAATACATCACCAGGTGTTTTTCTAATTTGCCTCTCAGGCCTTCCATATAAAGTTGATTTAAAGGAGGTATATTAAGAGGACTCTTCTGACCAGATGATGTGGTTCCCGGGGCTCGGGTGGAAGTCAAACTGCGTGTGAACCCGTCCGCTCTCATGGGCCAGGTAGGAGGTCTCCACGCTCAGGTGTTGGGTGTGCTTGGCGTGTTTGGTGATCCAGCTCAGCAGCCAGTGGTAGCTCTTATCCTTGCTGGGGACCTCCAGAGTGATCATGTAGTTCCTGCGGAAGAAGATCATCCCAACCTGGGCGCTTTTCCTGGCCACTGCCATGGCTGTCCCAATCCCCACCAGTCCGAACCCAGCCCCGAAGTAAGGGTTGTCCTTCAGGCCGTCCAGAAAGTCTGACAGGGGCATGATGCTGATGTCTGCACAGCCCCAGTGGAACCACACTCTATAGTAGTTTTAAAACCTTTTATAAGCACACACCTTCAGGCAAAGTGCAAACTCATCTGATCCGTGTGACCAACTCATTTGATGACAATCCAGAGACTACACTGATAGTATGATATACATCTGAGAGTAGCTGAAGACCTGATGCCCAAAATGGAAATATTATAAAATAAATACCAATTGATGCTATTTTCTAATAATAAATTCGGTCATATATAAATAAATAATAAGCTAACATCTTACCGACTTGCCTTATTTGTCTTCATCTCATACTGCCGTTTTAAAGGCTATGGTTTCTAGTGTAAACAGCCAACTAAAATCCACATGCGTAGCTACTTGAATGAATGCGACCTCTACTACACTTCCTGTGTTCGGCAAATATAGTTCCGACTGCTCGCTTGCCTTCGAACATTCATTCCGTGTCCCTGTTAGTGTTATCTTAAAATAATGTTGCACGCAAGCTATTGTGACTAAGATAAATATGACCATAAATAACATCGTTTGTGCATATTTCTATAGCTTTACCGACCCTATAGGACTCGTAGGAACTAAGAAATGAGCAGTTTGCGACCAAGAGGCTAACTAAGGATAGCTTAGCTAACGTTAACTGCATTGTTGTTAACGTATTATTACCACTTTCTACCATCATAAAGAAGTAAGTGATATTTAGGTTACTACCTCTCAGTATTAAGGAAGACACGTTCCTAACTAACACTCAGATGGGTTTCACGAGCTGGATGCTGTTGGCTGTAAAGGTTGATGTTGTGTTTGCCAGATAGAATGAACCGCGGAAGCCCAGGCAGTAGGTTCCCATTCAGTTTGGAAAGAAAAATAATAATGTCTTACCATATAGTGGCATTTTGTAGATAATGAACTGACAATCAGAGGGGGAAAGAAGTACTCAGATCTTAGAAGAACCACAGTGTAAGAATACTCTGCAGTGTTACAAGTAAAAGACTTCCATTCAAATGTTACTCAAGTAAAATACAAAATCATAGTCAATATAGTATAATCAATATACAAGAACCAAAAGTACTTATTATGCAGATTGGTACATTTCAGAATAATATGATATGTTTTATAATTATTTATGCATTAAAGTGTTATCAAAGCTGGTAAACCTCTGAATGGTAGTGGTGTAGAAATACCCTCAAAATTGTACTTAAGTACAGTACTTGAGTAAATCTACTTAGTTTCTTTACACCACTGCTCACAATGAATCGTCTTATAAGTTATACGCTTATAAGTTATACGTCACTGTAGATACTGTAGTTGCACAGTTTAGTTTAACGCATTCAAGGTTCAAGGTTTTTATTTTGTCATACGAACATAGCTACAGTGTAGTTATGACGATGAAAATCTTAGGTCACAGAAGAGATATTGGTGTTGACCATAAATTAAACGCCAAAAAGGTAGGCTATATGGTTTATTGTCTTATGAGTCTTCAAATAATTTAACGGGTGTGAACTTTAACCTTAAATAACTGTACAAATATTGGAAATCTGAGATATGTTTCTGATTGCATGAGTAGGCCCTAATGTTGCATTTGAAAAAAATATATATAATAGAGCCATTGTTCCTTCGGACCATCCACGCCATCTACACCTATCTGCAGCTCTTATTGGAGCTAGATTGTACCGAAATGATAGGTCCTATGATAACTGACACAAGTGTCCACATGAATCCCAATTGAACACCCTGTCATTTTGTACTTTGTATAGCATGTGCTAGGTTTTAGTATTATGTATAATATTACAAGCCATTAAGTGCTTAGAATGCATATATAATCCTCACAGAACCACTGTGTTTCTACCATTCTACTCATTTTGGCACTGAATAAATAAAGATTTGCTTGAAATTGGAAATCTAAAAACCGCTTCACCTATATGATTATAGTGTGCACTTTATAATGATTTTAAAGATTGATCTGTTACAAATGTTTGTCTTCTTTGTTTCAAAATCTACCAAAACTATATTATGTACTGTTATTTCAGATAAAATGGCCACCGTGGAATCTAATCGAGTTGAAACATGTACTCCATCCAGCAAAAAACCATTGGGGAACTACAAGTGTTCTCAATGCAGTGAGGTATTTTCCAAGCCAGGTGTCTTGAGACGCCACTTCAAAAGCATCCACAGTGGACAACATGACCCTGAAGGCCCCCTCCCCTGCAGTGAACAAGGCTGCCACTTCAGCAACACAGGACGTCAGGAATATCAAGCCCACCATGGTCTATCTCTTATTCCTTGCACATTCAAGGCTTGCAAATACTCATTCCTCACACATGAGGAGATGGAGAGACACTCGCAGGGCCACATGCCCTTCGGCTGCTTTCAGTGTCAGTTTGTAACGTTCAATTTAAAAGACCTGAGGGACCACCTCCCGGAGCATTTCCCACCTAACGCTCAAGGTAAACACAGACACTATAAAGAATTGGTGTTATGTTACAAAAATGAAAAATGTTGTCCTTCTTTCTATTAACATGTGCTTGGTTTTAAAAAATAGCACATGTATGGGTTTGTTGGCCATAATTCTACGGCTGTGTCACTGAGATGTAGATTTTCACCATTTTGGCACATCTGTCCACAGGTAAAGACACTTCAGCCACTACTGTATGCACTAAAGAAAGCCACAAGCCCCAAATGTCAAGCAGGTCAAAAAGGAAACTGATATCCGACCCATCTTATGAATCATCAATACCAGACAACATGAATAAAGAACAGTCTGAGAGGCAAAGGCAAAATATGAAAAGAGTGAGAAAAGCAGTGAAAAGAGACAAACCTTCAGCAGCGGACGCTGAAGCACCTCCATCCAAAGGTACGCACACCAAACGGCTTCATATTTCATAGTGAGCAGTTGATATTGTAGTTATTATATATAGTGAAGAGTGATTAATGCTCCAAATAACAAAGTCCAATAGAATTGTCGGCCTACAGGGGCACATTCAGCAGGACCCTATTACCCATTCTATTAGAATTGTTGTCAATGGCGCCTCTACGGCTGTATGCTTAATTTAATGCCCCTTTCAATAATGGATTTGATATAGGCAACTAAAGCCCATGCTAAGAAGAAATGTCCTCATATGTAAAGCTATATAGTTTTAAACTCCTTTTATTTGTTTTTAAAGCCCTAAATGGGCTGGCTCCTGCCTATATAGCAGAACTCCTCCATCGCTACACCCCAGCCAGAGCATTAAGGTCGGCTGATCAGCTGCTGCTGATATTGCCCAAGACCAGGCTTAAAACCCGAGGGCACCGAGCCTTCGCAGCAGCTGGCCCTAGGCTCTGGAACACTCTGCCCCTCCATGTGAGGTCGTCCAGACCCTAGAGGTTTTTAAATCAACACTTAAGACTCACGTCTTCTCTCTGGCCTTCTAGTCAGAGCGGAGCACGACTCATGACATTTCCCTGTGTTTTTGTTTTTTATATTTCTTTTGTAAATTATTGTCTTTTATTGTGATTGTAGTAAAGTGTTTTTATTATATGTACAGCACTTTGGCTCGACCAAAAATCGCTTTTTAAATGTGCTCTATAAATAAAACTTGATTTGATAGATATTACATTTTTTTATTTTTTTATTTAACCTTTATTTAACCAGATAAAAGCATTGAGATAAAATCTCATTTGCAATGCTGACCTGGCCAAGAAGGCAGCAACGTTACACATAACACATAACACAAACATATAAAATACAGAGAACATAACTAAGAAAACAATTAAGCAGCTATTATCAATACTTGTATCAATATTTACAATGATGATGTGAAAACAGTTTTGAAGGAATTGATCGGTGCAAAGGACCCACAGAGCACAGGCTTTACAGAGCTTTTCATTCAATTTCAGCTCACTGTTTAGGTCTCCAGCCCTCAAGTTTACATTTTCGTTTCATCCTTGCTTTTATCACAAACTGTGTCACTATGTCAAAATTAATTCCATATGTCCTTTTCCCTCAGAGTACCTTGCGGAGGGATCAGAGCGCACCTATCGCACCCACACCTGCCCCAAGTGTCGTCGCTGCTTCAAGATGCGCTCCCACCTGCAGGAGCACCTGCATTTACACTTTCCTGACCCCAGCCTCCAGTGTCCCACCTGCAAGCGTTACTTCACCAGCAAGAGCAAGCTTCGCATACATCGACTCCGTGAGGCAGGTGAGAAGCTTCACCGTTGCCACTTGTGCGAATATTCTGCAGTGGAGCGGAATGTAATCCGGCGCCACCTTGCCAGCGTGCATGCTGACGAGGCAGAAGGCGTGAGTGACAGCTATCCCTGCCCCACCTGTAGTCAGCGCTTTCACCAGAGCAGGGTGCTCAAGGCCCACATGAAGACACACAACATCCTATCAGACAGCATGCCAGTGGCCTGCTTCCAAGAGGGGTGTTCTTTCCAGAGCTCTTCGCCCAAAGACCTTCTTAAACACTCTGCCGAGGTGCACGGAGTCAAGGTTGTAGAGTGTCGTCATCACGCCTGTGGTGCCATCTTTCAAAGTGACACAGGCATGGAGGCTCATTATCGGACGCACCTGGCCTACCACTGCTCACAGTGTGACTTCTCTTGTTCCAATAAGACTGTCTTCGTCCAGCACCAGAGGAACGGTCACCCAGGAAACGACCGGCTTTGCTGTGACTTTTGCTCCTTCGTCACATTCAACCCTGTGGAGTTTGAGCAGCACGTTGGACATTTGCACGCCAACGAGAAGATCCATCGCTGCTCTCAGTGCAGCTACGTGACCTCGCATAAAAGGGGCTTGAAGAGACACATGCTGATGCACAGTGGTAAGATACAATAATTACATTTTAAGCTATGTTGTTTGGTTAGCTTTAATAACTTTGGCGCAGCATATTCTGATTTGTTCTTTTTTTGTGTTACAGGTGAGAAGCCCCACAAGTGTAGCCAGTGTGACTTCAGGTGCAGAGACGAGTCGTACCTCTCTAAACATATGCTCACCCACTCAGAAGACAAGAACTTTATGTGCGCCGAATGTGGATACGTCACTAAGTGGAAACACTATCTGAATGTCCATATGAGGAAACACGCTGGAGACCTCAGGTAAATACTTCAGTTGTTTGTCATATAAACGTTAGTTGTGTTTTCATCTTGGTATTATTAATACACTGCTGGGTACACATAATTAACAAAACATTAAGATTAAAGCAGATAGACATTGTTTAACAGATTTGTCTATACAGTGATTTGTTGCTTATTTCGTCCATTTTGAAAATATTGGTCGAACTCAATTGAAAAATGTACAGTAAAAAAATATAAATGAACATATTTTGCCGCTCCCTTGGCCCACCCGCAGCAACCACTTTGGGAATTACTGATATTATCTGTACTATTATAATAATGTGTATTTG